TGGGTCTGGGTATACACGGATCCAGATTGCTGCGTATGAGACCCGCCGAAGCGACACGTAGATGAAGTCTTGATCGAAGAAAAAATTATCTTAAACAAAAAGAAAAAATGGCTAATAAAACTTCTCAGTAGAGAAATGAGATCTATCCTCCTAGGACAGCAGGCAAAACCGAGGCATGCTGGCAACGGACGGTGTTATACCAGGCTGGTCACTGTTTTTTTTGTTTGCCAGTGTCCAAATCCTCCTGTAGACGGCACTGTAACACAAATTTCACTGAATCCTGTGTCCCTCAATGAAGGAAAAAGAAAAAAGTTTCCTGGGCATACACTAAAATATAACTAATACAACTCTTATGTATGGCTTGAGGTTTGAGTTGTAATAAATATATATATATACACAGGCAGTCCCGGGTTACATACAAGATAGGGTTTGTACTTAAGTTGAATTTGTATGCAAGTCGGAACAGGTACATTTCTTAAGTGAAACTCCAGCCAAAAAAAACCTTTTAGTTTTAGATAGCATAGGGAAGGGTCACGTTTGTTTTGCTGTCTGTTCCTGTTGTTCAGAAGATTATAATAGAATAAAAAAAATGTTTTATTTAAAATGACACCAAAAAAAAGTGTTTTTCTATTTTTTTATTGTATTTTATAAACTTTATTTTTTTTATTTGTTTGCATTTTTAATTTTTATTTATTTAACTTTTTTTTTACATTTTGTTTGTCTTTTTAATTTTTTTTTTTTAAATGTTTTATTTTAATGCTGGGAGCCATACCCAGCCTGCTATTGGATATTTCAAATTGCAACAGCCAATAACAGGCTGGCTACTGCATCTGCCCACTGTTGATCAGCAGAGGAGGGGCCTGAAGGAGAAAGTTCTCTATCAGGTCCCCCCATGCTGATTGACAGCAGGCGGGTGCAATAGCCAGCTTGCTATTGGCTATTGCATTTTACAACATCCAATAGCAGGCTGGGTATGGCTACCAGCCTGCAGATGAAGATGAGGCAAGGGGGGCGGGGCAGAGGTGCCACGGCTGGACGGGGGAAAGGAGAATCCGATGGACCAGGGGAAGATAGCAGCGGAGGTACGGGGGCAGCGGAGCAATGCAGCAGTCTGTGTCCCCATTGCCTCCGCCAACACCCGTGGGGAGAACAGCGGGCATTTGAAGGGACACAGGCCGCTGCAGCCACAGTTCTCCTAAATGTCCCGGCGGCCGCCCGTACATTTAAGAGAACTGTGGACCCCGGTTCGTAAGTACGGAGTGTCCGTAAGTCGGACATCCATAACCCGGGGACTGCCTGTACATAAAGTATTTTAGCTGGTGTTCGACTAAAAGTACAATTTAGCAGTTTGCCATCAGACAGAGAGAGGTCTTCCACAACTTAGCTTGTACAGACCTATAATGAAAGAATTGCATGCCCCCTCGGTCCTTGTGCCCCGATCACATCTCTTCTTTACATTCTGTTCATATAAATGGCATAAGAGAATAGTCTAGTGTCCGCAGCACTCAGCAGACTGTTGTTGGGAAATCTTCACCACCAATCACTTGAGGGAGGCTGCCATCCACAAATGACAACTGGGAAGTATCCTTATGAACTATGTAAAAGAAGAAACAGAAGGATAGCGCCCTTTCCTCGTGTGATCACCTTTATTGTAAATTAACTGATGCATTTCGGGGAGGTTTGACCCCTTCATCAGAGCTCTGATGAAGGGGTGATCTCCTTGAAACACGTCAGCTCATTTGGCTCTGCCTTACATGTAGGGTTCACTATATCACTTGTATCCATCAGGCACATGCGAGTAGTTTTTATACTTGTACATGAATCTATTTACAGTAAAGGTGATCACACGAGGAAAGGGCGATATCCATCTGTTTCTTCTTTTACATGGCGTAAGGGAATATGCCAAAGAAGTTTTTTTTATAACAGATTATCATGCTTGCTCATTTGTCACGGCTTGTTCAACTCCTTGCCTTCATAAATTACTGTGTATCACTGGTGTGGATCATCTCAGAATTCTCTGGCTTTACATTGCATTGCAACAAATCTGTCTAAATAGAGGTAGACTCACACAAGGAATGATAGGGCTCTGCACATTTATTGATGACAAAATAAAAGAATAATATAACAGAGAGCACTAAATATTTTCCTGAAACCTGACATTTAAAGAACTTAAACATGACTTGTAATAAACAATTACTGGCTTCTTACATCAGAAATAACATACTGTACACAGTTAATACACTGAGAAAGGGTATGGATGGGCTCCTTCTCTGACCCCACACTGCTCTGCATGTCTGTGGACTCTGGAGAAGGTCAGGAATGTATTCCACATGCACAATTAATACAGTACAGAAAACACAAGCTTGCAGTGAGCCTTTGTTGTCTTCTACATACATCCGGGCCATGCATTGCAATCATGACACTGCTGGAGGTGGGCAAATAAACGACAGGTCATCAAATTGCTAAGGCATGAAATAAATGTAGTGAATAAATTGCATACAAAGAGTAGATGACAATGCTCTGATGGACATGACTGTAGTGTACTGCAGGAGCAGGATTCTCTAGGTTTAGCTGGATTATAAGATGCATATCAGCTGCAAAGGATTTTATGGCTTTTACCCCATTTAGGAAAGGCACTGCATTACAGATAGCGCAGACAAAAATAAACTAGCACTTCTACTGGGCTTTGGTCTCAGAACGATGTATTCACAATGTATACATTCATAGTCACCACAATGGGAACATTTACCCTTGTCTTTACCTACACTGCTTCATCCATGGCATAAACAGCAAGCACCTTGAGGTACTGGACCAATTATACATTGCTAATCAGGGAATGTTAAACAGCAAACTTGGAATGTTACGATAGAACTACACAGTGGTCCCGGTCATCTCTGATGTACAAAAAGCATGGAATGTTACTGAAATTATGAGAAGGAAAGAACCTTAAGACCCTAGTTTGCTCCGGCCAGTCAATTCTCGGTAAGTTTTCCCTGCGATTCAAATAACGGTCTCTGTCCTCTCGTTTGACCAAAACTCTAAATTATAGACACGCAATAGATAAAAGGTCCCTCGCTTAAAATTTTAAATAAAAAAACTTAAATAGATTTGACTCTTAACTGAGCAAACCGGCAGAAAGAATTCTGAAAACTAGCAATAAAAAAAAAAGCAGATTGCCCAATGCCAAAGACTTGGCCCAATTGCCTACCAACCAGGTTGACAAGCTGGATTAAAATTTGCGGATTTGAAAATAAATTATCAATCAAAAATGTAGATGTATCATGTACTCTTGGATCAGATACAGAGGTGCCAAGTCTCAGGATTGTGCCAATCCCACACCTACCAAAGTATAAAAAGAGACTTCACTGTGAAGTATGTATGGGTAGGGATGGGATAGCAAGGTAAGACACTGTTCAGATACAGCTTAAATACATATAAATATATCATAGTAAAATAAAGTCTGCAGGCTGGAAATCTCACCGCATATACATTTTAGGCCTTTGTAGAGTATATTCAAGTATACCTGTCATGTACAAGAGGCAGTCATTGCATGGACTTGCCCCAGATTTACAATGCTGGTGGTATCACCGCATTCCTATCACATACTGCAGGAACTGATATTGGCTGCTCTTTGTAGGTGACGGGTACACTGGAAAGGAGATTGGTGTCCAAGTTGCTTTTATACATCTACAGTGTGTAAAGGTGCATAGGAGATTTAGTAACACACAATGCTGCTGTAATGTAAGATCAAGAACTAGCCAGGTACACAGAATTCTGGCCTCTAGCGGGCATTCCATTTCATCGACACTTTTACATATTGATGGAAAGCTAACAGCTTTAGGTACATTGGACATCTTAAAGAAGAACTCCAGGAAAAACATTTATTAACCCTTGCTGTGGGGCTACCCCCACACTGCAAGGGTTAACTACTCGTTTTTTGTCTAGGTTCAAAAGAAGAAAAAAAAAGTTAGACTCGCCTGAACCACAAAGCCGGCTTGTTTATAGACCAGCCTTTCCAGCCTCGCTCCACCTCCTCTGCAGTGGTCTAAGGTCCCATAAATCATCACGTTCTATACACAGTGTATAGATGTGAGTGCACTGAGGAACATTCCAGTGCTGCAGCGTAGGAGAGACTGGAGAGAGCGCTGTGACAGCTGGCCGGCTTAGAGCTTACGGAGAGTATACATTTTGTTGTGTTTGAGCCTAGATAAAAACTAGCACCTAATTAAAATGAATAAACATTCTTCCCGGAGTTCTTCTTCACCATATATACAGGTAGAACGTTATATAGAAGCAAGGTGCGGAAAGGCAGCCTGAGAAGAATTTGCAGGACAGGTATATGGCAGCCGCCACTGCTGGCATTTGAAGATATCAGTGACCTCATCTGTGCTTCACCACTTAGTGAGACAGTGACCTGGACCAAGCATGTGTGTCCCAGATTTCTTGCCCCTGGCTATGCACACACCTGTATCAGGTCACTCACTGACCAAGTAGGATGGTAAAGATAGGTATGGCAGCCATGGAAGCTGCATCTACAGAAAAAAGAAATGGCAATGACAACCTCCCTTATTTCTCTCCTGATAGGTTACTTTTATAGTCCCACTTAGAAGACAATACTTTATCCGTATATGTCCTGACTTCACATTAGGTCAAAGACTTGCCATAAATGCATATTTACATCATGCAGTGCTGCTTATGTACAAAGTATCCGTTCTCCTTCCACTAGGTCTGAGGTTTGCTCACCTGCCGTGTTTTCCAGCATCCAGCTGCAGGAATGGGTTACATCTAGCTAAGCTGTCTATTGAAACAAATGTATGTTGCTCCTCTAGAACGGTTTCCATAGCTGACTATAAATCCCCTCTTCCTCCCAATTTATGATTAGCCGTCTCAGTAAATAACAATGAGAAGAGTAAAGGTTTGGGGAGATGTGTCACCTGTATCATGAAGACAAAGCTAGAAGAGAGGACTTCCATCTGACTCAATAGACAGCAGATGAAACCATCGTCATTTCTGCACTAGTTCTATTATTTATGTGACTTCTCTACAACCTTCTTAAGCAAACTTACACATTTGGCACATTTCCTTTTTCTTCCCTCTATGTTCAGGATAAAGTAAATAAAATATGTAAAAATGCTCTTGCTATATTAACTTTGCCAAAGCCAGACGGCATACATATAACATTACCAGCCCATTCCACAACAAAAGGCTTCAGTCTTTACATCACATTAGTGTTCAATCTAACCGCATTAATAAACAAACACTTTTTAACACTTACAAGGCACTTTTTCTTATTCGCCCAGAGCAGCCAATATTGGTCTGGCAAAGAAACTTACAAAAAAAAAAAAAAATTATTTACAATTTCAACAGTAAAAATTTAAGAAAATATAAATAGTAAAAGAAAAATAGTTCTATAATACTGTAGCAATAAGGCACTTTTTCTTCTATTTTGTGAAGTGTCCCGGCTTCTTCATTTCCCTTAACATGTGGAACCCAGCCATCTGCCGAGTCTTATAGTTCATCTGCTCCAAGGAGCAACCTATACAGCAAGGCCTGACCCGACTCATGGAACTGGATGCGCTAGCTCCGCCTCCAAGCATGCCGCAGAACGGCATCTGCACGTCTGAAGGGCTGATTACGGAGATCTGGAAAGAGAAAGCAAATGCAGTGTCAGCTAATGTACACTGAGGACAAGCGTGCATTGTGGCTGAAGCAGGCAAAGGCAGCTGTACACATGAGACTGAATGCTGTAGAGTAAGTAGTGGAAAGAGAATACCTTAAGCTGGAGATAGAAGAATTATTGACACAACTCAAAACATTGAACATGTCTGCAAAGTCTGTGCTGGAAGCTTGCTGCTAAGATGAACTCAACCCCATATGTATAGTAGATTCAGAATTGTTAGAAGATGAAAAGAATTAGTTTTGTAAATAGTGTTTATTACTGATCTTGTCATTTGCAGCTTGCACAGACCGCTGAAACATCAATTATGTCAAATAGGAAATGCACCTTAGGAACAGAGAGACATGGAATGTGGTTGGTAAACAAGCATTTCATAGACTGCTGCAGCTCTGTGGTGCTCAGAACCGCATGTGGACCTACAATGACTGCCTAGAGTCTAGTCCCTTCCATCAGGTACAGTCCCCCACAGGGCCAGATTGCCCAGAAGGCCACCGAGGCCTGGCCGGGAGTAGAGGGGCAGTACAGCCACAGGGGGGGGGGTTCTTTTTCTACATTTAGTCCTGTTTTGGGAAGCCGGCGCTCGTTTAGTACAAGTGATCCTGGCGATGCCGTCAAGCTCACTTGTAATATGCCTACAGGTCCACCCCCAGCCAAGATATGCCCCCACCTCTGGCTGTCTCTGTCCCCACTGACCGCCTCCCACTCTGCCATGGTTTTTGGGGTCCCCTGCTCTTATGGGGGACCCGGGACCTCAGCAAAATAGTTCAGGATGGAGAGCGGGGAACAGAGCGTTTGTTCTCTGCTCCATGTAAACACTGAGACGGGAGAGCTGCACTTGCACCCTTCCCATCTCAGCTGTCACAGTGCTGTGCTCAAATTCCTGTATTGCAGGTGACAGGTTCAATAAAGAGAACCTGTCACCTCCAAATGCCATCACACAGGTTTGTTAGCCCCTGTGTGATAGCAATAAAGTTAAGTGAAAACAAATTAAAATAAAAGTTTTAAAAAATAAAATAAATTAAAAAAATAAATGCAAAAAGTGGTAAAAAACAAACAATTAAAAAACAGAGCCTGCTGCCCCTGCCATTTGGTTGCTATTCTCCATTGGAGGGGTTTGGCGGGGAGGGGGGTGCATTGAGGAACCTGGCCTTGAGGCAGCAGAGAGAGAGTAAATCCGGCCCTGGTCCCCCATAAAGATGGAGCTGATAATAAAAGAAGTGCACATATTAATGGACATGACTACTGGTATACTTTGTGAAGCTGGTGCTGGTTCAGACGTCTGGTGCTAATTGTATCAATTGTAAGGTGTGCTTGCCCCAATCCACTTCAAACAAGAGCACAAACCAATGGCAGTTTCATTCATACTAAAATAAAAGCCTTCAAAATCAAGGTGTCTGACCAACGCTGCTCTCTACAGCGATTTGTACAGCTAGCAAAAAGTTGACAATTTTTTGAGCCGAAGTGGATACAAACGTTTCAATGGATGTTATGGAACAAGATGTTTTTTAGTTGCAGCCTTGCAGGTCCCTGCATTGTACAGTTTTCCTTACTCCTAGTTGACAGTATTCAGCTGACAGTGCAATAAAGTGAAATCTATATGAAATAGTAACACGTTCTCTTTTCTTTGGGCTCAAGAGCCATATCTGTCTAGAAGTTCAGCTTTTAACTCTGTGCGTGGGCTGGTATCAGCAGTCACATCAGGTCAGTTACTCAAAGCAAATGCTTGTTATAAGAGACACATTTTTGCATAAGGCAGAAGCAGCATAGCCAGCAATAGCCATTATAGAGGGAGGTCAGCTGTCCCTCTTCTTACCCACTGCAAGAGAAAGGAAACTAAAGATGAATCTTCCTGGTGGCTAATCTGAGAGATAAAATAAAAAGGAATGTATATAACCGAGAAAATGAGAACTAAAGAGAAGTATATGAAGAAGAGCAGCACTCTCCCCTCATATGGAGGAGAAAAAGAGAAGCGCTATACCATAGCTTCCTCACTACATGGGTTCCTACAGAGGTCACACTCAGTCACCCTGTTCTTCAGCGGTTACTAGTAAACAGCAGGAGTGCAGGACAGGCAATATTCCACAAAAGCACAGCTAGCGAGGGAGAGGGCTTATGATAATTATGGCCACTTGAAACCAGTACCCGTTTCAGTTACCTTTCCATACTCTGATCCTAAAGGGCCAGTAAGGGTGCATGTTTTCCTCACTACCTTCTAGGAGTACGGCTGCATTTATTAGAGACCAGCATTGGCTATTTCATCTGCAAAACATGATCTATTGTGAAGGCTGGATCTGGGACCTCTGGCCTAAAGTAGTATGCAGCTGCCTATTACCAATCAGTTCATAATAGTGGGTTCTATATCAAAGGACAATTGTACATACAGGTGGCATTAGTAACATAGGGGTTCAAGATCTTCCCTTATGATGAGGTCTACAAAATGATAGCAGAAACTTAATACTGCACAAACCTTCTCCTCATGGCTATACACTGTGCTTTGCGTGAATATCCAATGCACTTACAGAAGAGTATGTAGGTGTGACATGCAGTCAGATGCAACGCAGGAGATTAGTAATCATGACTAAGGTTAAAGTGCAAGGCCTGGGCATGCATTCCAGTGTTCTTCATGACAGGCCATCCATGGCCAGACAAGGAAGGTCACAATGCATGCAGAAGTATACCTTTACATACTTTTTAAAAGGCATTGGGCTTAACAGTTTGAATCCTCAAAAAGGGATGTATCACAGAAGAAGCGAGAGCCTCTCTTGGCTGTTCTGGCTGTGAAGGGGACACTCTTCAGGACTGCAGCCATCAATGTAGGTTGGGGAGACAGAGAAATACATATATGGTCAAATAATGCAAACTGAAAAGAGAGGTTCAGCAGCCCCCAATAGTGAGGACGATATACATTGGGGTAGGAATAGAGAAGAAGACAATTCCAGAGAGAGAACTGCAAGGAAATATTAAATGAAACCACTTACTAACAGCCAAAACACCCACCTGTGATAATGTCCTCAATGGTTCCATCTTTTCCTTCATACACTGGTCGATGGTCCTTGGCTTGCCGCCGTCGCAGCTCTGCTATCAAATCTTGTTGCTGCCGCTTATTTTTCGGCGTTGGAGACTAGAGGAATAATAATGGTGAGTGAAAACATAAGATGGATCTCCTTTCAGCAACCAGAAAAATACTTTGCCGTCAGAAAATAAAATATGTCATTATTCCTCATTTCTATGGCATGGAAAAAGCCAGGTATTTCCTCCGAAGAGATCCAACAGTATTATAAAGAAGAGGCTCTCCCTAGATGGATGGCAATCCTTGTTCATGTTTACTGATGTGGCTTTGTTGTCACAATAAATGAGGGGGGATGGAAATGTTGAGGTGTTACCGATACCCAAATTATCCAACTATTCTAGATGTTATTTTTAGGGACGCACCGATACTAGTATCGGTGCCGAGTATTTGGGCGAGTACTCTTACTCGGCCACATGCTCCGATGCCTAGCCCGATACTTCCGGAATCAGGACGCCGGGCAGCGCGTCATTACACGCTGCCCGGCTTCCTGATTGGCCGGGAAGCCGGCTCCATGCTCTCTGGAAGCATGAAGCCGGGTGCCATGTAATGACGTGACACCCGGCTTTCTGATTGGCCGGGAAGCTGGCTTCATGCTCCCTCGTCACCTCATGATGATGGAGCCGGCTTCCTGGCCAATCAGGAAGCCGGGCACCGCGTCATTACACGGCGCAACGGCTTCCTGACTGACCAGAAAGCCGGCTCCATGCTTTCTGGTCACCTAATGACGAGGAGCATGTGGACGGCTTCCCTGCAAATCGGGAAGCCAGGTAGCGAGTCATTACACGCCGCCTGGCTTCCTAAATGGGACTTCCTGTATTCGGTATCGGCGAGTACCAAAAAGAAAAATGTACTCGATACCGAAATACCGTTATCGGTGCATCCCTAGTTATTTTCACTACTGGTATCTGAATTTGTCTCCCACTGCAACATACAATATCTATTGCTCAATAATTCCTGCTCTGGGGCAAACAGCAAAAGCTCAGAACCAAGTGTTTAGAGGATTTAAGTGGATGTAAAACGTCCGCTACAATACAAAGGACTATGAGATCTTCAAAGAGAAAATACGACTGAAATATAAAGTCACAATAACGCAATGTGACATGGCTAGTACGTATTATCAGACTGCCCTAGAGATTAGATGTTCACAGTTCATCAGTGCAAGTTGTGGGGACACTTTATAGGAGATGAGAAGCTCCTCAACGCAGCACACAGGTATAACCAGTGAGACAGTAAAAACATTATAGAAACAACTCTGATCAAAAGAGCTGATAAAAAAATCATATTCTTTAATATAAGCACATGACTTTCTCCTCGTACCAAACTCCTTCACTGGCGCATATACTGAATAAAGTGCTAAAGTCGTGATGAAGAACAAAATGCCAGCAACGTGTGATTTAGGATGATCACATATGACAGTGATATACCCTTCAAAGTACATAAACTTAAAATCCTGTATCCTGCAAAACTCAACCTTGATCCTGAAGTTCATCATGTGATTTTATAATTTCCTCCTTAACTCTTGCCATTGATACAGGATCTGTTAATTGTACGTTAGATTTGTTGTAAGATGTTTTACTCACATTCTAATATATTCAGGGACACAACTAACCAAGACTTCATTAAAATAAACCCTCTGGTTGTCTTTTCTTCCCTGTGCTTTGGCAACTGTCATCACAGGCCCAAGCCAATGTAAACAATGTTCAGCATGTCATCAGCGTGGACTGTACATTGGGAGTATAAAATGACTGCAGGCTAGGACTGAGAACTAGGAAGGAATCCAATTCACATTCCTGCTGAGTCCTCAATACCAGGAGCAATACATTATCTCAATACCGCAATGTACCCATATTATCATTTCAAACTGCTGGGAGAAGACACTACCTGCTCGTATTTAGCCAAGCCTTGCCCATCTGCCATGAGACAGACAAGTGTGGAAAGCCGAATGCACATCTAGAGGGAACCCTGAAGCCTTCCCTTTTCTCAGAAAGAAAGTAAGTCTTCCTCATAATAGAAGCAATGATGGTGCTTGCATTGCAGCCTGCAGGAACATTTATGTCAGTGCATGGTGCTTCAAGGCACTTCAAGAATGAGGACCATACCTTAGGGTCCATCTTCTTTGCTTCTTGTGCCAATAACTTCTCTCGCATAACTTCCTCCTGCTTCTTGCGCATCTCATTCTCAAGGTCAGCTTCCTATTTTGTGAAACAGCACAAATCAATTCTGTTATCAGTTTCAGGCATATTAATCTCATACATCTTCCTTGTATACATATCTAAAGAGACTTTGTAGAGCAAACGCATGGCTTTAGTAATATAGAGTAACCGTATACTTCTTTAGGACACTTACTAAAAGTGGAGCAGACAGAATCTGGGGCAGCTGTGCATAGTACCCAGCTTCTATCTTTAGCTTGTTCAGTCAGGCTAGGTTCAGATCTGAGCGATACCTGGGATGCGCGCCCAGGGACTGCGTGATCGTATTCGGGTGCACACAAATCAATTGCCGTGCAGCCCCATTGATTTCAATGGGGTTACATTTGCGAGGCAAATCGCTAAAAAAGTTACAAGTACCTCTTTTTGCGACACGACGCACAGCTTTTTTTAGCCGAGATTGTGTATAATTGCACGGGCGGATTTGTGGCGGGAAACTGCAATCCGCCCGGCGCGACTGGGGTGCCAGTAGAAAATAATGGCACCGCCAGCGCAATCGGCTGTGAAGGGCGACTGGGCAATCTGCACGGTTCCGTGCACAATTGCCGCCCGGTCACCGATCGCGCGGGTGTGAACCTAGCCTTAAACTTTGAAAATGAAGGTTAGAAGCTGACTTGTTGCCATGCACAGCTGCTCCATTCTTGGTAAATTGCCGTCATTGTCGGTGTAAAGTTATCAGTCTTCCTCTATGTATATATTTTAAAGACCATTTAGTGGATTTCCGCGGTTTGTGCAATTACGGTTCATAAAGGTGGCTATACATTGTACGATTTATATTCAACATTTTCAGTTTCTGGCATGAACCCCCGTTCGATTACACCAAGACTTCCCCATCAAGCATAGTCAGATGTCAATTTCAGAAATCGTTCATTGGCCATAGTAACCAAACAATTTTTGACGAACGACGGAAATATTTTCCTTTTGCGCATGTGCTCTGTTCTTGCCGAGATGTTTGACGAACGAAAACCCCCCTGATTCATCGATGTTCACTCAGTCAGAGAAACATTTTCCAACATGACCGACGGAAAAACATTTCCATCACAATATCAAAAATGAAAATCGGTGATGTACCATCAACTGTTCCATCTTCGTTCTAAATAAAACGTTCCTGTACGATCTCCAAACAAAAATCGTACAATGTATGACCTTTAGACTAATGCATGTGTGACCCAGCTCAGGCTGCTGTGACTCTTCATTATGACGCCCACATGAGTGTGACAGGATTCAGACTCCAGCAAGACTAGCATGCTTCTGGAGACAAGTGCCAGGCTAATATATCCACAAGGATCCGTCTCTTCTGGTTGCAATCCAACTTACGGGACAAGAAGTGTGTTATTCGGTCACTGGGTAGGTGGCCACACCCTGACCAAGAACCTTTTCCTGCTGGAACAATGGCAGGAAAGAGCCTGTCTTCTGTGCTCAAAGGACACATGTAAGTACACAGGTGCTTCTAAAGCACCCAGTAAAGTGACATGCCAGTATGGGACCCGGGCTTAGCATGTATACCTTGTATGATTTGATGAAACGAGCGAACACTGGAAAGAACACAGAGGGCGGCGTTGTCTTTGGATTTTCTCCAAAGTAAAGCACCACAGCTGCGTATGCTTCCTGCAAAAGAAAAAAAAATGAGAGATCTGGAGATACTGCTCCCTTCTGAGGGCTTCTAGAACTTCACAAGTCTACATTTCCTGCAGGCACAGTGAAGGGAAGGGTGGGAGGGGAGGAATCACAGTGGGACGGAGTGCTAAAAATACCTAGACAGAACATTCAAATAAGGAAAAAACAACTGATAGAGGCAAACAATACACGCAACTGACAAATAAAAGCTGTTTTGTCACAAGCTAAGGAAGCAAGAGGAATGCCTTTATAGGCCAGCATGTACACCAAGTCTATTGCTGTATCTGCAAAAAAGGAAAACCATCTTGAATGTGGCCATCGAGCCTATTATGTACGTGCGTTATCTTTAAAGATGAACTCCAGGCACAAAAATGTTCATTTAAATATATTCCTATTTAGCCACAGATATATTTTGAATGAATCGAGTGGCTTTGCAAACCCAGATATTATCTTTTAAACGTAGCAGTGTCATCACTGGACTAAACTCTTTTTATTACAGGAAACTCCTGCACACAGGCTGCATGCTGGATTACTACAAACATGCAGAGGAAATACAAAAGACACCACAATCTAAATAACAATACACATGGCCACTTGTATTTGTGCATGTGATTTGCCAGGAGTTTAGCTTTAACCTCAGAATTATTACCATAATAGCTGGACTTCTACAGTTTAATAAAAGCTTATACTGACTCTGTGCAACAATTTGGGTTGGTGCTACACCAACGAAAAGGGAGATGGCGTAAGGAGCGGACGAGAAGGGAGATGGGGTGAGGAGCGGGAGATGGGGTGAGGAGCGGACGAGAAGGGAGATGGGGTGAGGAGCGGACGAGAAGGGAGATGGGGTGAGGAGCGGGAGATGGGGTGAGGAGCGGGAGA